TTATATTATATTATATTATATTATATTATATTATATTATATTATATTATATTATATTATATTATATTATATTATTGAATATATAATGCAATTTATAATTTTTTCAGTATATTGAGTCTCACTGAAATTGTTTCCTTTCAGATGGTCGGAAGGCTTTCACTTCCTTTTTACAGTCTGAGTACAGTCAAGAGAACATTGAATTCTGGGAAGCCTGTGAGGATTTCACGCAGACATCAGTGGACAAGATGAATGTGAAAGCTAGAAAGATATTTAAGCGATACGTTGAAGCCGATTCCCCTAGCGAGGTGAGAGCGCTGCTTGACTGGAGTATATCTATTACCTTATCACATCTAAAATGTACTCATAAATCTCCATTATTATTATTTTTTTTAGGTGAATTTGGATTCGGCCACTAGAGAACTCACTAGAAAGAATCTGGAAAGGTGTGACGCATCCTGTTTTGAGGAGGCTCAGAGTAAAATCTTCACGCTCATGGAAAAGGACTCGTACAGGCGCTTCCTGAAATCCAAACTGTTCCTGGAACTGTCTCAACCACCGTTGGACAACAAACCCTGTAGTTTAGAGAAGAAAGGAAAACATCACGTTTCTGACCACAGTCAGTGCTTGCCTAGTTATGCCTAACCAAACCATCTCCTCATGGATGAACAAAGAATATGACGAACTTTGCCATAATGTGACTTCCACTCACTTGGCTTTGTAAAGCTTGTTCACGTTTATGAGTAAAAAGGTGGAGCTTATTAGATGGTTCAGTCATTGTGATTGTAACACTTTTAGCTTTGCAGTAGCATTAAAAAAGTGTGTAGTTAATCACTGCTTGAGCATGACGGTCATGTTCTGAACGGGTTTTGTGCAGGCAATGTTTTTACCATCAACAGAAATAACCTGCATCTACTCTTCAACCTTGAAATTCCATTGAATTGGCTTTGGGAAAACAATACACCTGTGATGTAGTTTACAACTAAATGACTGTTACAGATAGAAACAGATTTTTGCTTAGGATTTTATTTGAGCTCTGAGGAGAATAGGACCATTAACATCACTAATAACCAACTGTATTCTCTTTACTCTTGTAATGTTATGTAATCCGTATATTTATATATGTTTATGTATAAGCTCTCTTAACTTCAGAGGTGATGTATGTTCTTTCTACTTAAAATGTGAAATTTCCAGCATTTTCTTTTTGTGTTGGCCACTCTTCATAATCCACAAAATGACAAGTGAATGTGATAAATGTGCATGTGCAATGTATTACCTGTCACTGCCAATGAATTACGATGCGTTCCACTGTGAAATCGTGTCTTGGCTTTAAGGCAGACATTACATATCAAACCACAAACGCCCCTGTTAGAATAAATGGCCAAATGTGAGTTGTTTACATATTTGTTTACTGGTTCCATATTTATTCTTGTCATATTTATGAATAAAATGACATCATAAAATTCAAATGGTCTCATACTAGTAGATCCAACTGCTAATTTTACTTTTTAAAACAAAATGCAATTGAAGATTTATTCTTAAGATTTTTTTATACAAATTTATAAGTTTAGATGCAAAAGCCTCTAAGTGCCATTTGAATTAGGCTCCTATAGGTTCAGTAATTTCACTTTAATGACAATGAGCAGGTTCTTTTCATTGCCATTAAAGTGAAATAACTGAACATGAAAATTCAGTTATTATAGAAAAATGCTAATTTCAGAAGAAAATTTCAGACAGCACTTAGTAGAGACTTTTGCATCTGAACTCTTCATATACAGTGGGTACGGAAAGTATTCAGACCCCCTTAAATTTTTCACTCTTTGTTATATTGCAGCCATT